ACCGCGCTTCAGCCGGCTGTCTGGAATGGCCTTGGCACTTTTGAAAGTGCAGGGCAGCCCCCCTGCCAACGGCGCATCGACCTGCTCTCGTGGGTGGTTCCCCAGGAGGACCTCCTGTCAGGGTTATGCGTCTGGGGCAGGCGGTGTTTGTTTGTTTTTTTTTTACTTAATTTTACATGAGGCCTGAGCTTAAATACCTTACCCAAGGCCATGGAGCCGTAGCGTAAATCCCCATGCAGTTGTATTCCCGGTAAAACGGCACAGTGTAAACATCTAATCATGCCTAATGAGAATCGCAGGCTATCACAAGCTCGGTCCCAGCCCCGGCGTCCCTAACAGTCACAGCTGCCAGGTTACGGTCCTCCTTCGACAGTGGTCTCCGTGAGCTCTGTGCTCAGGCAGATCCGCTGACCGGAGAACGTTTCCCGTTTCTCGTAGGACACAGGGCGCTGGAGTTCTTCCCTCTTCAGGAGGGTCGCGTGGACTTCAAAAAGGTAAGCTCGTCTTTGATTTTATTCCTCATGAGGCCTCTTTCTTCTGCAGGTGCCAAGCCAAGGCCCTCAGGGTTTTAATAACTTGGTTGGTTAGTTTTTTTCACAGTTTTAAGCATTAACTTGAAGGGTCATTTTTAGGGCTTGATGAAACACTCAGAATAGGGTTAAAAGGTATATGTTCCCTCTGCTTGTGTGTTGAACACTTGTCTATGTAAAACAAAATATATATATTTAAAACTGATATTGCAATGCTATGAGTATGATTTGAAATAATACTTGAGAACGAATTTTTTATTGTTGTTATTTTAAAATTTTGTTTATAAGCCAAAAGGTGCATGTGCCTACAGACAGAGGGACGGAGAGAGTGGGAGGATGCACCCCACGGTGAGGTGTGGTCAGGCTGCAATCGAGAAGAAAATTAACAATTCTCTTTTGCCCTAGGTCATGTGCATTCAAAGGGAGACAGAGACAGAGAAAGCGAGACATCACCTCCCTGGGGATGGCCGTGCCACAACTCCTTCACCTACATCCTCCTCTCAGAATTTGGGGCTTGAACTTGGCATGGTTCTCAAGTCACTGGGTCCAGGACTTGAACCTTGGTCAGCCATGTGGGAATCCAGCACCTTAAGCACCACACCACCTGTTAGCCCCAGGAATTGTTTTTTAAGGTTTTTGCCAAAGGAACATGTACTGTTCACTCAACAGAGATAGAAGGGATTGTGGCGTGGTCATCCCCCGGGGTGGGTGATTTCTCACTTCTGTCTCTCTCTGTCTTTCCAGCAAGTACACGCACCCTAGAGCCAACATCTCTCTAAAAGTCATGACACTTGCCTTTCGTGTCTCTGAGCAGGTTATGTTCCCACGCCATTTGGTGGTCATGGGAGCGGTGCCCATGACCTGTGAGCGCGTTAGTGCGCACTCCTTAAACAGCCCGGTCCGCGCGGCCGCAGTGTAGTAGCCCCCGGCGGGAGGCCAGCCCCGCCG